TAAACGGACCGTAGAAGAAGACCTGAAGGATTTTTGAAGCCTTCCAATGAAGGATTTTGAAGCCCGGAACGAGAAAACGCTAGCGAAAGTCCATTTATTGGTGCGTCTTTTGCCGGCAAGGTGCACTCATTCGGCAAGTCGGGTCCTCGCCATGAAGTCTATGCAACATAGAATGGTGCCGGTGGACGCACGATTGATGATTGATTGATATGTGGGCTTTAACGTCCCATTATCACCACATGAATAAGAGAAACGCCCTATTGGAGGACTCCAGAAATTTCGACACACCTGTGGTTCTTTAAACGTGCAACCAAATCTGAGCACGCGGGCCTACAACATTTCCGCCTCCATCGGAAACGCAGCCGCCGCAGCCGGGATTCGAACCCACGACTTGCGGGTCAGCAGCCGAGTACCTTAGCCACTAGACCACCGCGGCGAGGAGCCTCTACCGTTTTACCTCCACCGAAATGCGACTTCCGCAGCCGGTATCGAACCAACGACCTTCGGATCAGCACCGAGCTCCGTAGCCACTGTTTCATCGAGGCGGACGCTAAGGAGAAAAGAACACTGTTAATAAAAAAAAATAATGGCGACATCCGCATGTTTTCGATCGAGAAGCACCGCTCGATTCAAATTCGAGTTCCCGTATATTCGGACACCGTTAAATCATATTCCGCAAACACCACCAGCGATAACTACAGCCGGGTGGTTAGTTACAAGACCTACTAAGCGAGAAAGTATCGGCGTTGCAGAAAACGAATGGGTAACGACCAGTCTCCCAATTCCGTCACGGCCGACGGTCATGCATTATTCATTGCGGCAGCGCGGTTCGCTATATGGCATCGAGCGCGGAGCACCCAAGGCGTCGTCGCTTTCTCTCTTTCCTTCTCTCTCCTCACCCTCCTTACCTTCGTGCTTCCTCTAGGCGAAAACACACAAGCGTAAACAACAACAGCAAAAACGCATCCGCGTGGCCGAGCCTAGCTCGTGCGGTCACCTCATCTATAATGGTTTGGTCCGTCTAGAAAAGAAAAGTGGAGGAGGAGGGGGCAAGAATATGAAAGAACAATGGTGAGAAGAGCGGACTCCGAAGATTTAGATGGCCGTGTGAGTTGAGAACGCATGACCCTCGGCGCAGCCAAACCGGAGGCCACCATCACTCTGCTGCAGCAGCACAGACGCAGTCTTTCAGTGCTGCGCTGTGCAGGGCTCTCTGAAATGGCAACAAAAAGAAAGAAACAAAAAGAAAATCGCAGAAAAAAATTGGTTGCGTGTCTGCTCACCTCGCTGCAAGTGTCTCTTCTGCCAGCCGAGAGGCCATTAATGTTATGCCTTGCCTCAGACGGTGCGTACTCTATGTTGAATCGACCGCATCTGGCTGACATTCATAAAAAAGAGCAGGCGCTGCGTGGGACATGGTCGCCATCTGGCAATGTCATCGGGAAACATGAGCTTGTGTAGAGCCCAGGGCCACTGACAGGTGGCAGCACTATATGGCCGCCCGAGCGCGTGTTCGGGCACAGCATCGCATTTTTAGCGCAGTTTAAAGAGCAATATATGGTCTTTAAAATTACGTATCTACGTGTTTTATATAGCGAAGGAACGCACGCACTGCCCAATACTTACGTAATGATGTTCCGCCTCAGATGTGCGTAATATTTGCCACTTGATCGACAATGTTCTCCAGTATGAACGCGCCTAACAGCTCAAGATTGCTGGGCGTTCAGCAAGTGCTTAAACTTTGTCCGGGTGGCTGAATCCTATGACAGACAGACAGACAGACAGACAGACAGACAGACAGACAGACAGACAGACAGACAGACAGACAGACAGACAGACATACCAAAACTTCTGGGTTGAAGTATTCCAAGAAAGACTATCGTACTTAACAAGCTATATCGACATAGGAGAGAGAGAAAATTTAATGCGGAAAGGCAGGGAGGTTAACCAGAAAACATATCCGGTTTGCTACCCTGCACTGGGGAAGGGGTAAGGGGAAATGGAGGAAGAGAAGCACAAACACACACACACACACACTCGCACACAGTAGTGTCACAATCGTTCAACGAGGCGGGTCGCTCGTAGAAACTTCATCAGCGCCTTCGTTGCTTTCTGGTGTGAAGCTCGATCTTTCCGACATTCCAAGATTGACTGCTCAGAAAATGGCTGGTCGTCGAGGCGAGCAAACACTGCTGAGAGGGACTGTCGTTGAGAGCTGTACTGGGGGCACTGACATAAAATATGTTCAATTGTTTCGTCATTGTCGCAATGGTCGCATGTAGCGCTGTCTCTCATTCCGATGCGGCAGGCAAAAGCGTTCGTGAAAGACACCCCAAGCCACATACGGCAGAGAAGGGTCGTCTCGGATCGGGGTAGGCCAGATGGAATAGTAAGTCGTAGGCATGGGTCCAGGCGGTGAAGACGGGTGTGGAGAAAACCGGGCGTATTCCGCATAGACCTTGCGACATCCTGCGCAAGCGTATTAATCTTTGCTGCTGCGTCGCTTCTTGATAGTGGAATAGGTTCCATCACTCCATTTTCGTGAGCATTCTTAGCTGCATTGTCGGCATGCTCGTTACCGATGATGCCGCAATGGCCTGGTAACCACTGAAATGATATGTCATGTCCTTCGTCTATTAGGTGATGGTACAGTTGTCGTATTTCGAGCGCCAATTGGTCTTGAGGTCCACGACGTAGAGCATTGTGTAGACATTGGAGAGCTGGTTTCGAATCAGTAAAAATGCTCCATTTTTGTGGTGTCTCTTGGTCAATCCTGCGGAGTGCGCTGCGGAGTGCCGCGAGCTCCACGGCTGTCGATGTCGTCTTGTGTGACATAGGATTTTACACGGTAGACTGTGCAATCTAGTTTATAATAGCTTGGGTTTTGCCAGTGAATGCTCCAATACGATTATTAGGCAGCAGTATTCCATGGCGGACACAGGAGGGCCGGGCGCGCCCCCGAACCCCTACACACGCCTATTTTGCTTTGCGTTTCACCCCCATTGAAATGCGACCGCTGTTGCATGGCTGGGAACCGAACCCTCACCCTCCATTTTTGCGACCCAACACCCTGCGTACTAAGATAACCCGGCTGGTGTTCCGCAACCTACTCAGATTCATTGCTCACCTTCGATGAAATCACGATTTATAAGTAAGCTTTTAGAAGAGTGATCGTCCGTCATCTGCCGCTACATCTTGTATATATTTTTTTTTTAAATCCCGATTGCTAGTGGACATTCCGTAAAAAAGGTACCTACCATGGGTTGCACAGAGAAACTTCGAAAATGCGATGCGAACAATGCCTGAAACCAAGGCAAAAAGACGGATTCAAAGTTTTTTCGCAGCATATAAAGCCGCGTAAATCGGATACGAAATGAAACGGCAACTAATCTGCAGGGGCGCTATTAGGCGCCATAGAAGATTAGCACCTTGGAGCGCGTCGAGTTCGGAGACACGCGCTCACGGCGGACAGCAGTCAGCGGAGTCCGGACTAGAACCACGTAAAGCTGTCTTTTCTCGTTCCTGCCTCTTTGTGAGTGGCGTAGTCGAGGAGTAGCAGTTCCAAGTCCGTGCACCCCCACCCCCTCGTAATTTTTTTTTCGCCATGCATACATGACGCAATATGACTGTTTGCCTGCCCCCCCCCCCACCCCTTAAAAAAGGTTTCTGCATGCAACCCTGCTCCCTGTGATATAAGGTCTTCAGCCGATCACCGACCCTGCTCCCATATTTGGCGCCCGACGTGGGACGCCAGCTAAGTAGCGAAACTATCCGTGCTTAGCAAGCGTTGTTGAAAGCGGTACTCAACGTTGGCTTCCTGCGTAGGTCGCGTGAAGTTTCGCAACACAGTTTAGTACGAGTATAAACGCACAATAATTGGATTCTGACAGCACAGAAGGAAACATAAATTCAGAGTTTTTGCTTTTTTGCTGTTTGGAACACACGCACAGGAAGTTGACATGTGGATGGGGTTTCGCGCAGGTTGCGACTTCGTTAAAGCAAACGTCGATTGACCGAAAACTTAAATAATATAAAATGTTCTGGTTTATCTACTACTGCCGGCATGGAGTGCCCTAAAACACTACCTATTTAGTTAGACTACTTGCAGCCACGCCAGTTGGTTCCATTATACTAAGGAACGTATTTTATTGCAATGGAAAGTATGAAACACACGAAGCACACTTCTGCCGTCGCCGTCATGTTCCGTTTAAGTTCAGAGTTACATCATCACCACGCGCGTCGCATGTTTTGTGTGCTCCCGAGGGATGCAGATTGGCCCGCTTCAAGCTGAGGTTAAACGCATCGGCCTGCTACGAAAAATAAATGAACACGAAACTGTAGCAATGAGGATGCTGCATTGCTCGGGTAGGAAATGCGAACTCTGATGAAAGAGATCACGGTCGCGCGCGCTGTGTCAACAGCGATTAGTATACGGCTCAGTACTCAACGCTGTCCCCCTAAGGTACTCGGCTCCCCGCCGTGGTGGTCTAGTGGCTAAGGTACTTGGCTGCTGACCCACGGGTCACGGCATCGAATCACGGCTGGGGCGGCTGCATTTCCGATGGAGGCGGAAATGTTGTAGGCTCGTGTGCTCTGATTTGGGTGCACGTTTAAGTACCCGAGGTGGTCGAAATTTCCGGAGCCCTCCACTACGGCGTCTCTCATAATCATATGGTGGTTTTGGGACGTTAAACCCCACATATCAATCAATCAATGATGTCGCCATTTTTTTTTTCACTTTGAAGCGCGCAAAGAGACAGCAGGAGAATCACTTTGCCGACTTGAGGGGCGTCGTTCTGTAGCGCCCGCGTTTCGTGGAAATGCGACAGACCGGATCCTCAAAAAAAAAAAAAAAAGAACTTTGCTGCTACCCTTACTCTGTGTATCATGCGAATCTGTTGCTCTCGCATTGATTGCTTCGCCCTTGCGGCGAAACTGTGGCTTATTTGCCCGCAGCATACTCACGTGTCTCTCCTCTGCTTCTTCTTCTTCTTCGGCAGGAGTCTCCCAGAACAGGATGCCCCGCGACGCCGTGTGTCTGACTCGACCCGTGGTGTACACGCTGGCGAGCCTCATCGGCGTCGTGCAGGCGCTCATCCTCGGCTCTTGCTGCATGCTGCTGTTCGTCAACCGGAAGTGGCGACTTACGCGGAAGCGCCTGGCCGCCATGCACGCGTCGGGCAGCCGCGCTTCCGTCTCCAGCAAGTCGGAACTCTTTCTCAGGACGTAGTAGCGGCCGCCCTTCAACGCTCCAACCTCTCATCCGGTCCCCCACCCCTTCCGTCCCCTCACTACGGGCTCTTGTTTTTTTTTTTTTGCGACCAATGTCACAAAGCGTGGCGATACGTTGGGTCGCCCAGAGGGGAGGAGGGGGAAATCCTGCCATTTTTTGGGGAAGGGTAATCAGAAAAAGGACACGGCTGTTCTTGTCTGAACAGCCGTGTACATGTTGCGTGTCCCTGGAACGGGACGGTGGCGCCGCCTTTAGGCAGTCAAGAAAAGCTCGACGAGAGGCATGTGTCGCACAAAACAATGTTAGTTCTGTTTTTGGCGTTCAGATATTACGCGCTCGATGCCGGAAACACGGCATCAGTTTTATTCATTAACTTACTAGTAATACCTAAAAGACCTTCCGCCTACGGCCTTTAAGAAGCGCACCTGGGAAACGCGATCACAGCGCCACGTTTAGATGGTAGACAGAAGTGTGCCCAGAGGCGTATTTCGCACACAAAAGCGGCACAGGCCTTGTTGGAACGTGCACAGCATGATCGATAACGCCAATAATGTAGCTTAGTTAGCTGTGGGGTTGTACTGTCGTGCCACTATTTTATTTTTTTTTTCCCCACATGCTATCGTCAGGTGCATGGATACACTTACCGCATCGCCTCCCCTCGGTGACTGGGTCAGTCTTGACGAGAGGCAAATGTTCCAATTAGGACTTCGTGAAACTGCGTTGTTTTAACCCACAATGGGTCCCGGTGCCCACGATGTGCCTAATTTTTGCGGTGGGATCTTCTCGGTAACTTTTCTTTCAGCACGTGCTGTTTCCGCAAACTTGCGTCGAACAACCCCTGCGATGGTAGGAACACTCCGAGAGCGACCATCTTGCAGTTGTCGCGAGACGCCGTCATCAATTCGTAACTGCGTTCGAACAATTTCGTGTTACAACTGCTTCCCTGCATCAAGAGAAACGTTTACCGAGGTTCCAAATGAAATCTGAAATCGCGTAGGCCATGTCAGATGTAGCTGAGTTACATTGAGGGATTTTTCTAGTAGGGCTTTGAATGAATGAGCGTGACGGCGGGCAGGTAACCCCGCGAAAAACAAAGCCGTCCTGGCGACCTAAAACCCATGTATACGACTGGTGGGTCATAGTGCGTCTTTAACAGTTTGTCGACTTGAACAGTCTCACGTCCACGGCGGCGGTGGTCTTTGAAGGATTGAACGGGCTCGCACACGTCCCTTGCCGCGCTGTGTAATGCTGCCTAAGGATTTCCGACGTACCCTTTTTTTCCTTCCACACCATTATGTGATTATTGTTTCGTTATAAGCAGACTATTGTTATCACAATGCCGTATAATTACAGTGTCGTAATTTTTTCATAACCCCACAGAAAGTTTTTACCCATGAATAAGCAGCGCCTCTCGTTCTTCAAGCCTCACAGTGATTTCTTTCAGCTGCCTCAATAGTCGAAGTGCTCGCGCAATCGAGAGCAAATTAGACCACAAAAATAGCCTCTCGTTCGAAGGTTATTTAGGTGTTTCTGAACCTCTAAATTTTAGTCGTCGCGTAACAGTCGCGGCGACACTCCGCCAACACATGCGAACTGTTTGTGTTCGCGTTTACAGCCACGAACAAACGCGTAATCGTGCATAAGAAACATTCCCTCAGTCAGCGTAGTTCTTGAGCCGTCCATGCAGCCAGTGCGAAAACTCGCAGCACCGATTAGTATTAGCGAAATCTAAACTTGTCGGAGGACTCGTGAAAGGATCGTGGCGAATAAGCAAGTGTTAATCTCGCGGTAAAGACTTAACGTTTGCTCAGCGAATCACGGTCTTTTCTAGAATCCTTGATGTCAACCGTGAGATAGCCTCCCGACTATAGCTAGCCGGGTACCGACAGCTAGCTTGTGGGCTGTGCACTCTGGCGTGCACTCACCCTCCCGGTGCGTTTCGTATGAGGTCATTTAACGCATCACACCACTATTTTTTTTCCCCTTGCGTTCGCACACAAGACACGATTCAAAGCACTGGTAATCAAAACTTCGTAAGATTTAGCTTGGAATCGTAGACAGAGACACCGTCAGTACGATGCCGCTGCATATGTAGGGTGTTCATGAATCGTTACTTCGAATACGGGAATTTACTGTACAAAATGGCGCGACTTTCCTCCACAGAAGTCCCTCGTTGCTGTGTAGATTATGTGGGTCGCAGCAGCCTAACCGGATGATCAGTGATCCACACACACACACAAAAAAAAAAAAACGACCTTGACAAACCGCAAGGTTTCATCTCCAGTTTCTTACGAGGATCGAAAAAACAATCACAAACGTGCTTCAATAGCAAAACTTCCCGATTATTTTGCCGAGACCCCTATTCGTCTCTCCGCTGAATATAGATCCCTAATAAAACACGCTCGCGCTCAAGCTGCCGGAAGGTTCCGCGAAGCCATTAGAGTAATGAACTCCGCGGTTCAAACGGCGAGAGATGGTTTGCGTGCCGTCGTGTTGCTCCGGACCCGAAGCCAATTTCGCCAATGGGCGTTTCGCCGGGCACAGCAACGTTGATATTATTCCTCGGCGCCGCGTGAAAACAGCTATACGTACAAACAGGAGCGTTTAACGTTGAATAAGGTTACGCGGGATTTCTTTTTGTTTTTTATGTGCCCATGTGTGGCTCGCGCTGCGTGAGATTGCGAGTGTGTGGATTTTGGTGCCGCAACTTCTGTTAGGCTAGGAGGCCTCGTTCGTTGTATGGCGTGAACTCTCATGTTTATATGACCTATATTCGTTACATACAGCCTTATTACGCTAGAAAACCGACTTCTGCGTGTGTGTTTCTTTTTAATAAAGATGATTAATTATGAGAGGTTGATCTCTTGTAGAGGACTTTAAAGGCTCAGAAATACAAGTTGTCTTGTTCTAAACTTGAACTACGTTGGAAAGAGACCCCTCCATGAAAATGCCGTTCACACTATAGGAACGCGATATACAATACTTCACAATGTGTTTTTAGATCAAGTAACATAGCTTTGCTGGGCTTTCGCCGACATCATTGTTTTAATGCCTGCCGCGAAGTTGTAGCTACTGACATCCCGGCGCAAAGAGGTCATTCATGCTGAACTATGCCAGTTGGTCTTCTACTGTGTCACCCGCATGGCCATTCTGTGCTGGACCCTAGAAGTCTTGTTCTTGAATCTAGGCTATAGGAGTTACGAGAATCGAAGTTGTTGCTTTTTTTTTTCGATACTGAAGCGTTGAACATGTAATCTCACCGTGTCAAATGTCTTTCGCATTCTCATGTGTACTTTTTTTTTTGCAATAGCAACACTGTAAAAATTTCGAACGAAGCATTAAAAAAAGTGAAGCTATTGTATAACTTGTGGTGACATTTTGCTTAGAAGGCTTGGTATTATTACAACCTAAGCGAAAAAGAGATGACGTTCGGTTTGCACTTCGTTCGCAAACACACGCTTTGACCCGCGTCCACATTTATTGTGACATGGACGCATTATTATTGCCATAGTTTTGTACCCCTTGTCTTCTGTGTATTTCATTTCGTGTGTACGAGCAGTATTTAGTTTTGATTTTGGTGCTATTTTGTGGGACCTAAACTGGCGAGAATTTTTCACTTCCTCACCCAGCAAAAACGTACGCTACGTTGGGCTGATCGGGTGCAGTTGTCAAGGCGGTGCTATTGTCTGTCATGTTGTTCTTTGCTTCTGCCTACCTTCGGCACCGCACGCCTTGACCTCTTTTCCATCATTTCTCAGTTGTATATAATCGCACTTCAGTTATAACACAATGGATACTTGCACGAATATCAGCGGTAATCTGACAAACTCCTCGCAGCGGAAAAGCACGCAAGAAGTCCACATTTAAGAACGTCTTCACTCTTTAAACATTCCATCTACTAATCAATGTACGATTGCACGATAACGTTATCCAAAGGCATCGTAACGTCTAAGACAAGTAGACATAAACAGTGAAATTTTATACGCAAAGCGAGGCTTCGTCGATTGCGCCTACGTTTCGTTCGATTATTTTTTTATTTGCTTCGTTGCACCTTCTTATCTTTACAACGTCTAAATAAAAGGCGGTGCGCAACAGCAGGGCTTTACATTTCAACAGCGGAGCTCTTTTAGTGCTGGGCCTGACCCAAACGTGCGTCGGCGTCGCCACAGATGGCGCAACTGCCTCGGTCGCGGACGAAGCCGAGTAGCCGCGCACTGCGAAACTGGGAAGTGCGACTCCTCGGTGAAGGGGGATTTAAATCACCGCGACAGGAAGTGGTTCGGCGGGCTCTGCCTGCCACGCGTCATTTCCGGTGCATATTTACTCTTCGAATGACGTAATCGCCACCACCTGCATGAGATCATAGAAAATCAATCACAAAAAAAATTGCTAATGAAAGAGAAAACGAGAGGACCACCACCTCTCTGTATCTCCAGATTCCGCATTGGGTGAGACTAGGATAATCTTTTTTTTTTTTTGCTGTTGAACTGGCAGCAAAATGATTAGTTGAACTATAGTTATCATCTCTCCTCATCCAGTGGTGGACTTCTTCCGGCTGGAGAATAGTTCCTATAAGCTAGGACTCCGTAGATGCCTAAGAGTGCGGCTGAGAATAAAAAAAAAAAAACGCCGAACACACAACTTGAACAAAGGCTCACAGCGGTGTAGAACGCTCTTTCCTATTAAAGTGTTCGTCGGACTCGAGTCGAACGCGGGAAGGCGTCTGCCTGCCTCTCCTCTGTGACGAGGAGGCTTCAAGTTTATTTTTCGGAGTGAAAGTCTTTGAGAGTGCGTGCGTGTGTCTTCTTTTCATTCCGTATAGATTACTTACCGTGTGCAGGGCTCTCGTCCTTTTCAGCACTTTTTTCCAGCTTCACAAGGATGAACATGAAAAAAAGAAACGAAGCAGATTGGGGAATAACGTATCTTTCACACCATGCTCACGTAAAGGCTCGCTCAAGATGTCAAGTACAGGCGGCAACGCAACGTTTAGATATTTGTAAAAGCAGCTGACACCCCTGCATTATCTCTTCCGCGAAATCTCTCTCTTCCGGCAGTTACACAATG